ATTTATATTTATATAATATTTCATCCTTTATTTTTTTTTGTTAGATTCAAAATTAAAAATATAAGATTCAAGTAAATAATCTTTTAAAAAGTTATAACCAAAGGTAATATATTCAAATATATATTTTTTATAATTAAATTATAAAACAGTCTATTTTAATATTTTATCAAATTGATAATAAATAATATACATATATTCATTATTTTCAACTATGTAAGCTAATTTTTTTTAATTGTTGTTTAAAATTAATATTAATAAAAAAATTATTATTTTTCTTATTAATGAACATAAATGTCAATTAATAATTATTATTAGATTTTGGAAAAAGTAATTTTTTTAATAATGATTTATAATTAGCATTAATATTAATTATTATAATATTTATTATTTTTTTTGAAATGGAGAATTTAATCAAATTAAATTTCTTAAATAGTAAATTAATGATCAAATATTTTAATCTAAAATTAATATTAATTAATATTGCTTCATTTTTATTTATAATTAAAATTAATTTATTTGTAACTCAAAATTTAATAAAATTTAATCTCTTTATTAAATAAAATCATTAATTCATATATAATGACATATTAAACGTAATTTTAAATTATCACACATTATAGTTTTGATGAAAAAATAGCTTTTTTTTGTATTTTGTATTTTTATAAGAAACAATTTAATTAAATTTAGTATCTGAATTATTAGTTAATATGATTATTTATATAATTATTAATTTATTAATTAAATACAATTTGAAGCTAATTTTTACTCAATACAAATATAGAAGGACAATAAAAATAATATTGTAGATAAAATGTGTGACAAGTTGAGAATAGTGAGGAAAAAAAAGATGAAAAAGTAGTACCTTCTATTTTTGACAAAAAATATCATGTAATCATGTATCAAATCTCATATTATGTTTGACAAATTAAGAATAATAAAAAAAAAGATGAAAAAAGTAGTACTTTCTATTTCTGACAAAGATTATTATGTGAGATGAAAATTAAACAAAGAGGGTAGGAAATAAATTAGATAAAATGTAAATATGTAATATAAAGGGTTGAGGAGAAAAAAAAAAGGAAAAAAAAAGTAATACCTTTCATTTTTTATAAAGTTTGTCATGTGAAATGAAAAATAAACAAAGAGGGTGACAGATAAATTAAATAGAATGTAAATATGTAATATAAAAGATAGAAGGAAAAAAAAAGGAAGAAAGATTATACATTTCATTTCTGACAAAGATTGTCATGTGAGATGAAAATTAAACAAAGAGGATAAGAGATATATTAGATAGAACATAAATTTATAATATAAAGGATAGAGAAGAAAAAAAAAAGAGAGAGAGAAAAAAGTAGTACTATAATGAAATAAAAATTAGACAATAGAGAAATGAGAAGAGAAACATGATGAAATAAAAATTTGACAACAAAAAAATAAGAATTAGATTAAATAAAATGTATAAAAATGTAATATATAAAAAATAAAGAAAAAATATGATTGAAGATAAAAAATTTTGAAAATTTGTCATATAGACAAATATGACAACATGTAAAATTAGTTTTATAATAAGGTGTCAAGTAATAAGGTACAATTCAGCTTTTTTATATAATAAATAGAAGGTAGATAAATATGGGGGTAATTTTGGATTTTTCAAAAAATGGATAGTTTGTGATATCTATATTTTTTATTTTTTATTTAGAAAAACTATATAAGAAACTTTTCTAATTTTTTAAAAATATTTTACAAATGTTTTTATTGAAACATTAACAAATGAACCCATAAACAATCAGAAATCAATCGTGAAAAATATTTTATTACATAATAAAACAAATGTAAACATTATCTCAATAAAAAGGGGTGATGAGATTGAGATCTGCGCTCTCATGCAGTTTCTTCATGACCAGAGGATCATATAGAGGTTACCAAAAACAGTTTCTTTATAAAATTACCATTTCACTCATTCCTGTATTTGAATTTGACGTGTCACTTGGAATGAGACTAATATGACCATTGTTCAATGACAACAGCACCCTCGACAAAAATGACAAATGTGTGTCAATTGTAAATGCCAACTGGTGACGAGATGACACTCATGCTAGCTGTTTGATAGCATCATAGCATATATTTTTGTGATACCTTAACGAGACTCCAACCTAAAAGACAATTGTAATTAACTAGTTTTGGAAGAAACTTAATTTTCTTTCCATGTTTTCACTATCAATTTTCCTTTCGGTCCATACTAAAATGTTTTGCTGCTTTTTTCTTTTGTTATTGGGCTAAATTTGCTGTAGCCAATCAAGGTCTACGATAGTTTAATGGGGAAATATGAATGAAAGAGAAAAAATAACAACTCTTGCATTTTATTCACAAAATTAAGAATGTTCAGTTTTAAGGGAACCAATTGCGTTAGTGGAAGCGTTTCTGAATTACAAACGAAAAAACAAGCTTATTACAAGACTATCTGTCTAAAAGGAACATAGAACCAACTTATGAAAGGGGAGAAGAAAAACAAAACAAAACAAAAATTGGTATATACACAAGTCTAGGCGTCAAGAGATGCGACAGTGTCCAAAGGTACAACAGTATCAGGAAAATCTGATCTTTGCCCTGCAAGAGAGTAATATGCAAGAATGTGAGCAGAATGCTCAACAACTACAGTCTCATCCGTATTGTTATTCATAGCCACTTTTCTAGAAGGAATCAACTCAATGTTCCAAAAGGGTCGAGCCATGGCCAAAAGATCACGTCCAGATGGAGATGCACCATAGCCTTGCACCCACAAGTACCTTAGAGAAGTCAATTGTGTTGCTGCCACAGCAAGTGCACGCTCACTGAAGAAAGAACACCCTCTCATTTCAAGCTTTTGAAGACTAGGACACCCCTTAGAGAACTCCAAAAGTCCTGCATCTGACTCACCCACATAACCAAGCAGCATCCATCTCACGTTTGGACTGTACTGACCAATGTAACCAAGACCAACATCAGTCAAACCCCCACGCCTGAGATATAGGGCAAATCTTCTCAGCTTGTCACAGCCCCTCAGTAGAGCCCTCACTCCATTGTCAAGTGGCAAATCGGTTATCTTTTCTTCGTGATCAAGCAACACCAGGCGAAAATCACACAGGTTTTTCAAGTGAGTTCCAATATGTTCCAGAGATGCGTTTGTAATGTCAGACACGTAAACTGCCATGTATTCAAGCTCCGAACACCCTTGTGATAAGGCTATCAGCCCTCTATGGGAAACAGTACCTTCTTCATCCTCCATTCCTTGATCATCATCACCCCGTTCAATCCGAAGCCTTTTTAACCTCTTACAACAACGGCCAAGAACTTCTAACCCTCTATCTCCAATTACATTCCTTGTCTGTCCATAAACTAAGGTATATCAGTTCACAATAAACGTTTCAAATGCTTTTGGTCATAAATGGTTGTTGGGTATTTATACTTGGACACCCCACAATTTTATACACCTCATCATCAGCACTACTATTTCTCTTCCTATAAAATAATATCACCTACCATACCTATAATTTTCTTTTCTCTCTTTCTTTTATAGGTGCAACCGTGCAAGAATTATTTTTGTAACATAACATATCCCTCCCACTTATTTGTTCAAGCAGGAGGAGTAATTTAACAAATTCAATGTTAAAACTACTTGACATACTTCCTTTAAAAAGCAAATGGGAGTATATTATCAAACCCTTATATATAGATATACACATACGTCTGTAATGTAATGCATAACTGAATTGCATATTTACAATAGAGAGTAGACAGGGAAATTCGAAAGTCTTGATAAGCAAAAGTTGTGGAACCTTACCTCAAGGACTTCCAGATTTGGACACCTTTGGATTAACATACAATGATCCTCCGTGTCCAGCATTGCATAGAGGAGGTCCAATTTTTTTAGTACGGCTGCAAACATGAACACTATGGGCAACTCATTCTTTCCAATATATGTTAAACCCAATCGACATAACTTTGCTGGTAGTGATATAGCAGAGTATTTTTCTGGTTCCTCGTTGTAGGTGCCTCCGCAAAACTCTTCCAGAGCATAGGCATTCTTAAAGAAGTTCACAAGATCCAGTATTTCGCATTCGGCGAGTTTCACGGACACTAAGTTGGGACAATTTTTAGCTAGGAGTTCAAGATCTTGAATCTTGACCACATCAATATCTGTCAAGTAAAAGTTGAGAGTCTCGAGAACTGTATTATTCAAAGCAAGCTCATGTAGCCATTCTCCGTCCTTCTCAACAATTGAGCTTTCCTCCAAAAACAAGACTCTTAAACTCCTGCCAAAAAGAAAATTTAAAGTCAGAAACAGTATAGGCTTAGCATAAGTTTTAGCTTCCAAGAAACAATGGCTCAGGTCAGTGTACTTGAAAATTCCAATTATGTCTAGAATTTCCTTCCTGCAAATAAAAATGTCTATTATCGAGTGAATTATCTTAAAAAAAATATCAATAGAAGTTATAAGATTTTTTTCCCTTAAAGGAAGTATAACTATTTGGATAAACTTTTTCAAAAATACTTTTTTGGAGAGAAAAATAGAAAATTAAATAAATTTTTTCATAAACTAAAATTAACTTATGCATAAATTAAGTTATAAAAAAATTTTCTCTAAAATCTTAATTTTAACACATGCATAAGTTAGTTTTAATTTATGAGAAAACTTATTTTCATTTTTCTCTCCTAAAAATACTTTTGAAAAAACTCATACAATGACTTCTATATGTTCCTCACATCCAAGTAGGTCGCAAACTGTTCAAACACTTCATCCTACAAAAGTTGCAAGAAACTGATGACCACAGTTCTAGTCAATAAATATAGGAGCTTCATCTTGTTTAAACTACTCCATCAATGATTAGTCACTAGAAAATACTATCAATTTGAAGATTTGAAACTTTAGAAGTATGAAATTTAAATCATTTAATATTTTTGACAACTATTAGAGAAATTAGAAAAGAATTGCTCCACGTCGGTACAAAAACAGAATTAAAACGACTACATCTGTCACAGAGTACATCAATAAAAAAGAGTTATTATTAACATATTTCTACTTTCCCTTCCATCTTTTTTCTCATCTAATATTTTATTTCTCCTCACATAATTTACTACGTCATCTCTTTTTCTCTCATTTTTTATTTTTTCTTTCTACCTCTGTATTTCTTCAACCCATACATACACCCTTCCTATTTAATTTAGGATTCATCAACCTGAAACAGTATCAGATAACGTGGCAGAGCACTATTTATTACCAATGACATAAAACAAAAGCTTCCTACCAAACAATTGGAACGGAAACATAGCAATAAAGGCACGAACGAGTAGCAAAACAAGTAAAAACACCTGGCGTTGCTTGTAGCCACTGAGAATAGTAACTAAACAACCACCATCTGGCAAATTCGCAGCATTAAAAAGTAGCAAAAACAAAGCAGGTGGGAAACGCACGCATAAGCAACCATCCTTCACCCAATCACTCTGCACAGTGCACATCCCTCTAACTTGCAGCGTTTTTCTCCATATCTCTTATCCACCAATCACATCCATATTCCTCTCTCTCCTCCCTCTTTATATCCCTACTAGTCTCGTAACATTGGGAGTCCAACCATCATTTTCGACCCAAAAAAGGACACACATCTTCAAAGTTCAAACAAAAGAAACTGAAACCACTTCCTCATCAAAATGTAATTTTTCTAAAATTTACCCCTAAAATTAAAATCAGCGACCCAACAATTATTTTTAAAAATATATATCACCAAAATTTAGTCACTCCATAATTAGCAAGAAAAAAGTAATTTTTCCATCAATAAATGATTATTCCCCAATTTCTTTGTAACTTTGTATTTTATTAATAACTAATTTCCGCGAAACTAATCATCCTTTGTGAGTTCTTTCTTTCCGACAAGACGTAGACCTCAATTTCACTGAGACCTCTTAGAAAGCAAGTTTGAACCTAATTAAATTTTACAAAACCGTAATCTTTCATGAATAAATGATTATTGCCCAAATTTTTATTTTCGACAAGAGTTGGAACTGAATTTGAGCCAAGGCTCTTAAAAAGAGAGTTTGAACCAAACTAGAATTACTACAAAAGAATAATAATGAAGGGAGGGAAGTGAGATAGTACCTGCAAGAGCGAGCAATAAAGGAGAGTCCATCAGTGGAGAAACCGGAGCACTTGTCGAGCTTGAGGGCGTGGAGCACGTGACCGCGGGAGGAGGCGAGGATTTGAAGATCGGAATCCTTGACGATCATGCGGCGGAAGTGGAGGGTCTTGAGGCAGTCGAAGTAGCGGGAAATCTCGGCGACCCAGGGGGTGACGTGGCCCCCCCAGTCCTCCGGTATGAGGTTGAACATTGCGGCGCGGGGCTTCCCCTTCAGCTTCAGGGACTCCAGGTGGGGGAAGCGCCGGCGGAGGCGCGCCGGCGTGGTCGTGTAGCAGAGGGCGATGGTCACGTGCTTCCTCGTGAGGGAGTCCAGCTCGTACCACCGCCGGCACACCTGGGACACTGCGTCGCGGTCCTTCGGGTCGTCGATGTAGGGTATGACGCAGTCCAGCACCACGTCCACCACCCGCGTCCTCCGCACGTTCCGCTCCTCCGTCATCAATTGGATCCGAGGAAGAACAAGAACAAGAGCAAGAACAAGAGCAAGAACAAGGGGTTTTGGTTTGTCTTGGTTCGAGTGGAGATGATGAGTGTGTGTCTATGTGAGAGAGAGGAAATGGTGTGTTGCGTGGTGGGGACTACTGGGTGAAACGACAAAACTTGTTGGGGGCTTGGCTCTTGTTTCTTATATTTACGTGATGTGATGTAACACGTCACTCACTCGGATACCTTTCAGTTATGCAATGCTATGTTTGTGTTGAGACTTTAGATTTTCATCGGACCCTCATTTGTTTCCGGTAACCACTCTGTGACGTGCACCCATTTACCAACGACTCATATTAATTCATGTAATAAATCCTTATTTTTTGTCTGCCACTAACCATTTCTTCACTTATCTGCCAAAACAAATCAACTGTTAATTTCATGTTAGTGTCACTTGATTTCTAATATTTTGGACTATTATATGTTTCCTTACAACATCATTTTATAAGAAACAAGATACAAAAAGAAAATTAATTATGAGATAAGATGAATGATGCTATATCAAAAACTGTCGCGGAATTAATATTATTCTTTTTAATAACAAATATTAACTAAATAAAAATAATTTATGAAAATTAAAAAATACGAAACAAAATTTAGTTGAGAATATTATAATAAATAAATTATAGTAAATAATATTATGTTTGTTAGAAGATATTAACTTGAATTGAGGATGGAACCGGTCTAATCCTAACTTCCAAAGGAATTGGAGGTTAAAATATCGCATTTATTGCTATGTTGTTTGCATATTGATTAGCTTCATTTACATAGTTAAATATTGGAAGTTCTTGCTAGATCTCCTAAATGGGACTGTGCACCTTATTTTATAATTCAATTTTTTTTGGGGAGTAGCAAGTTTTATTATTAATTTTAAAAATTATATCTTTTAAAATTAGTTTAATTAATTATGCTTGTAATCCTAATATGTTTACTTTTATCTTTGTAGTTTTAATTGTCTGTATTCTGATTTTTTTTATTTTGAGTGTTCAAATCACTACAAAAAAAATATTTATTATTGATGGACTTTTTCTCATAGATAAATATCCGTATGAAAAATGATATTACCGACAGATTTTTTTGACAGATATGTGTCCATTTGAAACATAAATGATTTTGACGGATATTACTCACGGATTTTTCTGTTTGAAGTTTCAGATGGATGTCACCCACAGATTTTTTCAGTGGAAAACTTATGATGTTTTAGACAAATATTTCCCACGGATTATCTATCTAAAATGTTGTTTGTAGAAAATGCAAAAAAGAAAACATCAATAACTTTAAAAAAATTTAATGATAAAAGATTAACAAATTAAATTCTAATTATCACACATTATAGTTTTGATGAAAAAATAGCTTTTTTTTGTATTTTGTATTTTTATAAGAAACAATTTAATTAAATTTAGTATCTGAATTATTAGTTAATATGATTATTTATATAATTATTAATTTATTAATTAAATACAATTTGAAGCTAATTTTTACTCAATACAAATATAGAAGGACAATAAAAATAATATTGTAGATAAAATGTGTGACAAGTTGAGAATAGTGAGGAAAAAAAAGATGAAAAAGTAGTACCTTCTATTTTTGACAAAAAATATCATGTAATCATGTATCAAATCTCATATTATGTTTGACAAATTAAGAATAATAAAAAAAAAGATGAAAAAAGTAGTACTTTCTATTTCTGACAAAGATTATTATGTGAGATGAAAATTAAACAAAGAGGGTAGGAAATAAATTAGATAAAATGTAAATATGTAATATAAAGGGTTGAGGAGAAAAAAAAAAGGAAAAAAAAAGTAATACCTTTCATTTTTTATAAAGTTTGTCATGTGAAATGAAAAATAAACAAAGAGGGTGACAGATAAATTAAATAGAATGTAAATATGTAATATAAAAGATAGAAGGAAAAAAAAAGGAAGAAAGATTATACATTTCATTTCTGACAAAGATTGTCATGTGAGATGAAAATTAAACAAAGAGGATAAGAGATATATTAGATAGAACATAAATTTATAATATAAAGGATAGAGAAGAAAAAAAAAAGAGAGAGAGAAAAAAGTAGTACTATAATGAAATAAAAATTAGACAATAGAGAAATGAGAAGAGAAACATGATGAAATAAAAATTTGACAACAAAAAAATAAGAATTAGATTAAATAAAATGTATAAAAATGTAATATATAAAAAATAAAGAAAAAATATGATTGAAGATAAAAAATTTTGAAAATTTGTCATATAGACAAATATGACAACATGTAAAATTAGTTTTATAATAAGGTGTCAAGTAATAAGGTACAATTCAGCTTTTTTATATAATAAATAGAAGGTAGATAAATATGGGGGTAATTTTGGATTTTTCAAAAAATGGATAGTTTGTGATATCTATATTTTTTATTTTTTATTTAGAAAAACTATATAAGAAACTTTTCTAATTTTTTAAAAATATTTTACAAATGTTTTTATTGAAACATTAACAAATGAACCCATAAACAATCAGAAATCAATCGTGAAAAATATTTTATTACATAATAAAACAAATGTAAACATTATCTCAATAAAAAGGGGTGATGAGATTGAGATCTGCGCTCTCATGCAGTTTCTTCATGACCAGAGGATCATATAGAGGTTACCAAAAACAGTTTCTTTATAAAATTACCATTTCACTCATTCCTGTATTTGAATTTGACGTGTCACTTGGAATGAGACTAATATGACCATTGTTCAATGACAACAGCACCCTCGACAAAAATGACAAATGTGTGTCAATTGTAAATGCCAACTGGTGACGAGATGACACTCATGCTAGCTGTTTGATAGCATCATAGCATATATTTTTGTGATACCTTAACGAGACTCCAACCTAAAAGACAATTGTAATTAACTAGTTTTGGAAGAAACTTAATTTTCTTTCCATGTTTTCACTATCAATTTTCCTTTCGGTCCATACTAAAATGTTTTGCTGCTTTTTTCTTTTGTTATTGGGCTAAATTTGCTGTAGCCAATCAAGGTCTACGATAGTTTAATGGGGAAATATGAATGAAAGAGAAAAAATAACAACTCTTGCATTTTATTCACAAAATTAAGAATGTTCAGTTTTAAGGGAACCAATTGCGTTAGTGGAAGCGTTTCTGAATTACAAACGAAAAAACAAGCTTATTACAAGACTATCTGTCTAAAAGGAACATAGAACCAACTTATGAAAGGGGAGAAGAAAAACAAAACAAAACAAAAATTGGTATATACACAAGTCTAGGCGTCAAGAGATGCGACAGTGTCCAAAGGTACAACAGTATCAGGAAAATCTGATCTTTGCCCTGCAAGAGAGTAATATGCAAGAATGTGAGCAGAATGCTCAACAACTACAGTCTCATCCGTATTGTTATTCATAGCCACTTTTCTAGAAGGAATCAACTCAATGTTCCAAAAGGGTCGAGCCATGGCCAAAAGATCACGTCCAGATGGAGATGCACCATAGCCTTGCACCCACAAGTACCTTAGAGAAGTCAATTGTGTTGCTGCCACAGCAAGTGCACGCTCACTGAAGAAAGAACACCCTCTCATTTCAAGCTTTTGAAGACTAGGACACCCCTTAGAGAACTCCAAAAGTCCTGCATCTGACTCACCCACATAACCAAGCAGCATCCATCTCACGTTTGGACTGTACTGACCAATGTAACCAAGACCAACATCAGTCAAACCCCCACGCCTGAGATATAGGGCAAATCTTCTCAGCTTGTCACAGCCCCTCAGTAGAGCCCTCACTCCATTGTCAAGTGGCAAATCGGTTATCTTTTCTTCGTGATCAAGCAACACCAGGCGAAAATCACACAGGTTTTTCAAGTGAGTTCCAATATGTTCCAGAGATGCGTTTGTAATGTCAGACACGTAAACTGCCATGTATTCAAGCTCCGAACACCCTTGTGATAAGGCTATCAGCCCTCTATGGGAAACAGTACCTTCTTCATCCTCCATTCCTTGATCATCATCACCCCGTTCAATCCGAAGCCTTTTTAACCTCTTACAACAACGGCCAAGAACTTCTAACCCTCTATCTCCAATTACATTCCTTGTCTGTCCATAAACTAAGGTATATCAGTTCACAATAAACGTTTCAAATGCTTTTGGTCATAAATGGTTGTTGGGTATTTATACTTGGACACCCCACAATTTTATACACCTCATCATCAGCACTACTATTTCTCTTCCTATAAAATAATATCACCTACCATACCTATAATTTTCTTTTCTCTCTTTCTTTTATAGGTGCAACCGTGCAAGAATTATTTTTGTAACATAACATATCCCTCCCACTTATTTGTTCAAGCAGGAGGAGTAATTTAACAAATTCAATGTTAAAACTACTTGACATACTTCCTTTAAAAAGCAAATGGGAGTATATTATCAAACCCTTATATATAGATATACACATACGTCTGTAATGTAATGCATAACTGAATTGCATATTTACAATAGAGAGTAGACAGGGAAATTCGAAAGTCTTGATAAGCAAAAGTTGTGGAACCTTACCTCAAGGACTTCCAGATTTGGACACCTTTGGATTAACATACAATGATCCTCCGTGTCCAGCATTGCATAGAGGAGGTCCAATTTTTTTAGTACGGCTGCAAACATGAACACTATGGGCAACTCATTCTTTCCAATATATGTTAAACCCAATCGACATAACTTTGCTGGTAGTGATATAGCAGAGTATTTTTCTGGTTCCTCGTTGTAGGTGCCTCCGCAAAACTCTTCCAGAGCATAGGCATTCTTAAAGAAGTTCACAAGATCCAGTATTTCGCATTCGGCGAGTTTCACGGACACTAAGTTGGGACAATTTTTAGCTAGGAGTTCAAGATCTTGAATCTTGACCACATCAATATCTGTCAAGTAAAAGTTGAGAGTCTCGAGAACTGTATTATTCAAAGCAAGCTCATGTAGCCATTCTCCGTCCTTCTCAACAATTGAGCTTTCCTCCAAAAACAAGACTCTTAAACTCCTGCCAAAAAGAAAATTTAAAGTCAGAAACAGTATAGGCTTAGCATAAGTTTTAGCTTCCAAGAAACAATGGCTCAGGTCAGTGTACTTGAAAATTCCAATTATGTCTAGAATTTCCTTCCT